ATCTAAATTGACTATTGCGGAGTGTACGTATCGAAAGCTGAGTTTACATTGTAAATGCATATCGACAATTAGAATGTAAGTAGTTTGGTAGTTCCCCATTACAAAGTGAAACCAATCAATTTATAATAGTTACAAATTCAATGGTGAAACGACAAGCGACACGCAAAACATGTTTAGGGTCACTGATTGTGTGTAATCATACGGTTGTATCACGTGACATTTAAACAAAACAACGGTGGAAAGTGAAAACATGAAATATGAGAATTGCGGCATCTGCACATTGTTCGTTTAAAAAAGTGGAAATTATAAACTCCATACCTACACCAAAACGACCACGGAGCAACTGCTGTTAAAAATCGTTGAAGCGCAGAGGCACAAGGAAATTAAGCGGTTAATGGATTGTTGTCATCATAAAGTGATTGAAATAAAAATTGAATTACAATATGAATGAGTCATCTACAAAGATATGTAATGTTCAATATTTGCAATTTCAATTTACCCAAAACAGGTATTCCCTAATTATTAATAGTTAACCTCAAAATGTTAAGAATGGCATCAAAAGCATTAGTGAACTACTTGTGGTTGACCATTTTAATCAAATTTGTAAATACGATAGAATTGCAACATTACATATCGCACAAACCCGAAATAAAAATAAACAAATGTTGCGAGCCGTTTGAAATCCTACTTGACGACCGTTGCACTCACATCAACAAGACCAACGAAACGATATGGCATCCGATGTTTACCAGTGAGAATGGCAAAAAGCAGAATGTGCAGGTGGATTACATGTAAGTACTTCAATTACAATGATTCGATATTTACTGTGCGAATTAGAATCGTTACAGGAAATCCAGATTGTGGATCAATGCAAATATGGCACATTTATTACTATCAGGAATCGACAGACGTTTTGCAATTGTTACCGAATGGTGCGTTGAGGCACTACCCGCATTATGTGTCGCCCGAGGAAGATCTTAATAGGGAAATTATGTATCACGACTATCCACCTGGGAAATATTGCATGGAAAAGGTAGATTGATGGGAACCTTTTTTAAATATTTAATGTGCGAGGAGTGTGAGGCTAGATATCAATGTACATAGTTGTAAATTAATAATTGATTACAAGAATTAGGTACACTAAATTTAATTAGATATCTTATTGGAGTCTTAAATTAACGAAAACCAGAATTATTATTTTTTACTAAGGATTACAATGGCTAAATCAGAAAAACAATTAGGGAGGGCCACCCTATACACAGTGTTCATTTTTCGAGTGCCACTATGGGGATCTCACTTATCTTAAGAGATAGAAAGTTGGTTAAATTGGGGCAAAGTTGCAAATTTCCGTGCTGAATAAGAATCTGAAAAGAAATTTGAAATATCTTCAATAGTTTTGAGGATATCGCCAAATACGAAAATTTCTGATTTTCGTTTTTAATTTTTTTTCATGATAAACTAATCGTAGTAGACATTTCTAATTAACACATTATTCGGACACTTTTTAATGGAGATTTCAAATATGGCATCCTGTTTTTAATTACTTTCAAGATGACTGAGAAATGGTGGTTCAGTATCACATTTTTCCCAAAAAGAGTGCTTTGGAAAAACAAAACGTTCTTTTGTTGTTAATTTGGATATTAATTGAGAAATTAGCATTGAAATTCTAATTCTATACCCTGTATATTATACCTATCACATTTCTTAAAATTATGAAATGTTTCCACCGTCAGCCATTTTTAGTGATTGGTATCGGCTGCATTAGCTACCATTGATACAATAAACAAAACAAAACCTCGATGAATCCATGGCCCACTATTTAAAAACAGAAAAAAATGTTTTCATTAATTTTCATGGCTAAAATTAAAAATATTATAGATTGTGATATATCATGTAACCAGGAAGAATAATGCAGAAAAATTTAGGTTAAGATATATACAGGGTGTTGCATTTTAAAAAAAACCAACATTTAGTCAAATCTTAGAAATGGTGTCCTCTTTAGATCAGAACTTTTTTATTTTTTTAAATTTTGACTCTGAAAGCGCAATTAAAATGTTTGGTAGAATTTTTACACACACACAGTTGTTGGCATTAGAATTTTGTAGATATTGACTCAGGAGGGAGCTTTAGCATGATCAAAGCGCATTTCAATCAAATATCTATGAGGTGCATGTAATTCAGCCAACAATTGATTTTTGACGTACATTTTTTTGTATTTAATTTTTTGTCTTTTTTGATACATTAACACGCATTTTTTTGTCTGGAAACACGTTATTAAGAAGTTTTTTTACATATTACAATACAATACCCATTTTTTCAATGATTGATTACTTATTGAAGTTTTATACAGTGTGGGCCTTTGATAACTTACAATGGCTATATTTTTTATATCAATAAAGGATAAATGTGATTGTTGTAAAAGCTAGGGAGAATCCTAATGACGTATTTTTCAATAATTTCAATTGTTTGTTCCACGTACGCTATAAGCTATTTTTAAAAATAAACAAAGAACCAGATGGAAGATTAAAAATGAGGTTAGTTTTTTTATGGCCAATCAAAAGCAAGTTTAATAAGCTTTCTAGAGAAGAGTATTGTAATTTAAGATTTTTGCGTTAGTATGGGTGTGCTTAAAGGGGTGGTGGTAGTCAAAAAGTCATATGGATTCTCTCTGGTTTTTAAAGAAATGGTATTTTTTATTTGTTTGATATCTCTCATAAAAATATATAGTAAATTTTCAAAGGCCCACACTGTATACCCTTTTTTACTTGTGGGATTATGAGGAAAAACGCAAAAAACATTTGGATCAAGTTGTGAGTAAAAACATTGATATTCCTGATATTTCCAAAGTGGCGAATCCTTCTTCTATACTATAGCTGTATGCCATATCAATAACTAATTTTTGTTTTTTGTTTAACAACAGAAAAATAATTAGATGTTCCTTCTTAAATAAGATTTTTATTTCACGCACTACAAATTTTCTTTTCATTTATAATTAATTAATTGAATTAAATGCGTATGGCTCAATTGGCTTGAAATAAAATTTTTTCTTTATTATTTGTTTAGACACTGAAACAACAAATATTTTCCATTTTTTTACCAAACAAAATTCAGAGTTTCACTTTTCTTATAAAACCAAACTTTTTGTAGTTTTTTGCTTAATTCAAATACATTGTATTATCTAGCGACGCACCCCTCTCGCTAATGTTAAATTTGATTCTGATAATGTTGTGCTTTAGCATGTTAAAGGCTCATTGGTAAGTGAATACGCTTCAGTTTGCGCACCAGAGCATCGCACAGACTGGACAAGTTCGCCGTTTTTAATGCGCAACATAATAAGCCCAATTACGCATGGCATCAGCATGGCTTGTTTTTTGACCATCGCTATAATTTACTTTATAATGCCTACGCTACGCGATTTGGTGGGCAACATAATTACCACGATTTGCGTGTGCTTAATCGTGAGTCAGGCGGCCGACACGATTCGATTACTAACAGTATTCACTAACCACGTCAGTATAATCGCAGCAGGTTTGTAAAATACAATTCCAATGGACGCATTTGATTGCTTGTAATATTGCAGAAACGCTTTGCTACATAGCCTTGTTAGGTAGCTTCTTTTGGCTTAATAGCCTCGGATATTATGTATGGAAGACATTTAAGTATGTACATATCTAAATAATCGACACATAATAATCTATGTTTTAGATCGCGTAATGTGTTTTTACGCATTACTGATGGCAAAAAATATTGTTACTATTCTGCTTATGCTTGGAGTTGCACAATTGTAATGGGGGCGCTGGCTTTATTTGCCCATTACACTATGGACTACCAAGAGAAGAGCAAATCGAAATTCGAATACGAACAAGAAACTATTGGGTCACTAGGTATTATAATATTCTTTGTGCCAGTCTCTTTTACAGTATTAGTAAATGTATTCTTTTTTGTAACGACACTCAAAATATTAAATCGAATGAATACGTACGGACGAATACATCACAAGTTAAAGCATAGGTAAGATTGACTGGTTGTTAAATTGTGTTGTAATGAGAATTTTTTTGCAGTTTTCGCATGTTTTTATTATTATTTTTGGTAATGACATTGACATGGTTGTTTTTCTTATTATCGTTTACTCGATTTGAAGGCCTTGTATACTGTTACATCGTAATTAATGCATTACAAGCACCTTTATTTCTGTACATATGTGTGGTAAATCAAGCCCATGTCGCATTCTTAGTACAAAAAACTTGTTGTTACACCAACTGCGCATGCGCATGCTGTAAGCCTAATCCCGAATGTGAATGGGGCGACGAGATGACTGCTATGAATACGGGAGCATATTAATTTTAGGTGTTTTATTTGTGAGGGTGACATTTTTTTTAATTTATAATTTTATTTAAGACTAATTCTTGTTTGAGAAATGCCTGATCTGATTTTTAATCTCGTAAAATCTTATACAAATAGCTGTAAGTTTAAAATCTAATATATTTTTTTTATTTTCTTATGTACTTGAAATAAATAAAGTAAATGAAAATCGTGGAGTAACTTTATTTGTACGTGGAAAGTGGTACAAGGTGTAAATCAATGATACATCATAAATGAAAGGGATGATAGAGAGAATTAAAAGAAGTCACATTTGATACCAAGTGTCTACTCCCTTCAATTATTATTTCATCGCAATGATTCCAACAAGATCTTTAAGGGTTTGGATTTCGGGATCATATACCAGGTTGTTCATAAATCCTCATAAAAACAAATCCATATCGCCTCCGACCTGCCTCTGCAAATCCATCAGTTGGGATCCTTGCATAAATGCCAGAGGACGGAGTAGCATCATGATAGAAGTGAGAAAATTTTAATTTCAAACGTATATTAGAAAGCGCTACAATCTCACAGTAATTCAAATATCTTCACTAGCAAGCGTTGTAAGTTTCATTATTATGCATCCCCTTTTGTAAGGGTGCAGGGTAAGGGGATTTATATATACCACGATAAATTCAACATATTTTCTCATAAAACTCTTAATTATAGAGATAAAATATAAAATTTGGTTACAATATCATCTCCATAGAAATTTCAGACTTCTTGAAAATATAACCAACTCTCAAGCTCTATATCTTTTTAATAAACATTTCACAAAAAAATAGTGTAGGTATATCAAAGTTGTGTAGAATTTTATGGTCTACAATTTCTGTAACAATATTTTTTTCTAAAGTGAACCATTAAAAAGATATATTTGAAAAACTAAGAAACCAACCAAATTTCAGGGGTTTTGGGGGTGGTACAGGGGAAGCACAAAGAGTGGGAGGTCTTAGGGAGGAACTTAGATTCTTAACCACCAGATGACTGTCTATGACATGCTAAAGAAATCGGAACAAGGTACTTCTCATTTTGCAAGTTAAAACCCTCTATTCCCTGGACTACATTGGACAAAAAAAAATCAATTGAATTTCGATTTATCGGTTGTTTTGTTATCAATTTGCGCTCAACTTTGCGTGTATATCCTTTAACTAAACCTTCATTTTTCCAATACAACATAAAATATTCAACAACTTTCCACTCATTCATAAAACATTTATTTGCATGCTTAAAACTTAGGTGGCCTTAATAGCATTACTTACCTGCTTAAATAAATGCCCTTCCTGTCTCTGAATAAGATGAGATAGCTGACATCTGACTACCAAATGACAGTCATCTAAAACCGTATTGAAAAATCGTCTAGTGGGCAGAAGAGCTTCTAAATCGGTCACCAACTCCAGAAATCTCTCACAGTAATGAATCTACAAGACCGTATCATTAATCAAATCTCACTCTATTTAGACACCCTACCTTATCCTCAAAAACTGTCCCCTCTCTAGAAATAGTATCCAACACATTCAAAAACTTGAGCATTAATTTTTGTAAAAATGTTCGTTCCCAAGTTAACTTTTCAATCTGATCGGGTTTATCTTTTTTCTGTATCATTCGCCAATACTTTTTCCATTTGGGGAACGTTTTAAATTCGTATTCGCGCCTAGCAGGTTGTAGAGAAGTCCACATTGATAAGGACACTAAACGTTTCACTTGATCGCGACACAAAGCCACCTCCATACTATTAAAGCAATGATTTAGAAGCACAAGTAGAGCTGTCTGTTCTCGTAAAGTCACCTCTAACTCACATGCTAAGCATGCACGTAAAACTTGTTGAAAAAAGTTCGGAAAGTACTGATTTTTACTTTTAAAAGCATCCCACGCCTGAACACGTTCGCGAAACTTCTCGTTCAACATGACCACAATGGACATCATATGCGAGTGGGTAGCTTCTGGATGGTAATTAGGCCATAAGTAGTTTTCTAAGTATTGGCTGAATTCCAGAACCATGATACGACGGATGGAGAAACTACAACACAAACGTGAAAGGTAACGCCGCAAATAACTACAGCAACGTACTTGCTACCGCGAATGTCTTGCAAGTAGATATCCTCGACAACATTTGAATCAAAAGGTAGATGGTCCGAAACCGAATGTGGGGCCCAATACTTTTCTGCTAACTAGAATAGATATTTTTAGGTTAGTTTTTAGGAATTTGTATATACCTCTGTGATTCGATCGGCATTAAGTTGCTCGACAGTTGGTGCCACAATGCGTACTACTGGTTCGTCCATCGCCATGGTTTTTTTAGATTATAATATTATTTCACACCAATACAATGCACCAAGGAGTACTTCAAAATGTTAGGTTAAATTGTAAACAAATAATGAAAATAGTTACTTTTATTTTATGACGTTGGCAATATATATCTCAGACGGTGTTGCCAAAAGAATGGAACAATTCTTATACAGGGTATTGAAATCCATTTGTGACTTCATTTTTCAATTACAGGTCTTATCAAATGGATTACAAACCTAATTCGAAACTGTCAAATTGTCGTGTTTTTCTGCAAAAAATATCGTAAAAAATATTTAAGTATTCTAAATTTTCATTTAATTTAAAATTATAGAATTTGTATAATTAAAATTCTAAATTTTGCATTTTTGTTAAAAGATAAGGGCATTAAAAAAACATTAAAAAAACTTTTTGGGAAAGATAGGCACGATAATTTGAATATTTAACATCTCAAATAATGATGGATTCACCAATACAATAAAATGAGGATGAATAGTATACCTGCATTGAATGGGGTCATCCCGCCTTCATTTTTTATTTCTGATCCACAAAGTACATTAAAAATAAAAAGACCCGTGTGTCCTCAATTTTTATTTGCGAGTAAAATAAACCCAAAAAAAAATTATTGAAAAGCTGTGTTTTTAGTCCGAATTTGAAACGCTTCAGACTAAATACGTCACAAACCTACAACCAATCACGTAGAAGTGAGCTGGCAACCTTACGCGAGGGTCTGAGGTTTGTCACATTTGACGTTTTGAGAGGGATGTTTAACTGCATCTAGCACGAAAGTGACAAGTGCCTGTGACAGATGACGCAAGTTATAAATGCCCAAGGATACTATATAATATAAGGATTGCTCGATCCCTATACTTGTAATGTTGCTCGAGTTTAAGTCATATGTGACGTCACCAACGGACCTGGCTGTCAGAATTGACAGTTATAATTTGCTAAGTTGTCAACGTTTTTGCATTAGCGTTATAACTGTGTGTATGTGTTCGCTATATTGCAACAAAAATGCTTGAACGCCGGCGTGCAGTATTGGACTATAATAACAATTTCGGGTAGTATTCACATTTTACACTCAACTGGCGCTCATTTTAGCCAGTGTCAAGAAGAACGTCGAGAAATCGTTATTTTAAGATGGACAAAGTTGAAATAAACTGATTTAGCTGCAATTTCCATGGATGATGAAGAGTAAAAAAACCAAAAACGCAGGATGAAATGGGTTCACGATATTTTGAGTATGCGAAAAACTTAGAATCTTACATAATATATATACTATACATACATAACTATACTTGAAATAGCGTCTAAATAATTCCTAATATCTTTGCGTAGGTACTTTATTTTCAAATCATTTGTTTTTTTTTATATTATTTGTTTCTGCTGAGTATTTTTTTTATCTTTATTTTTTGTTCTCACTTTTAGCGTTTATTACTAATCTAAGATTAATAACTTTTCTTTATGTATTTTCGCCTTTGTCCTGTAAATGGGTGTTCCTGTTGGGCAAATAAAGCATTATTTTTATTATTATTATTATTGTCGGTGTTTCTTGTGAGAACTCAGGTCTAGCCTGGTTAACTAATCGCACGGATTAAAATCAAGTAACGATTAGTGTCTGTGTCTGGTGAAGTTATGTAGGGTTCTAAAGAAAAAAAATAAATAAAATAAATATTCACACACTCACATTGGAAATCTAGGGATAGTATGTAATTCATACTTACCAACATAGCTATTAATGGCCACAATAGTCAACGCTATCAGGAAAGAAGAAAACAAAACAAAAATATCATTTATAATAATTCCTGTAATTTTATTAAATAGAGTTTATTGTGTAAGTGTTTCTTTGGCTTTGCGTTTGGGTTGTATACGAGTGGGTTGTGATAACGTGGTGTGTTTATGTGAAGAAGGAGTTTTGTGTTTTTTTAACTGTGCTAGGACGTGTAACTTTATTGGGTGGACCTGTCTTTGTAGTGCAAGTTGCGTTACTTGTATTTATGGTGTTTCTTTGTTCTTGAGGTTGTATTTGTGTGGTTGCTTGGGTTTTTGGTGGAGATATTGCAGTATTTTGTGAGCTAGTAGTGCTGTCAAGGTTTTTGCGTTTGGGTTGTATACGAGTGGGTTGTTTCTGAGAAGAAGGAGTATTGCGTTTTTTAACTGTGCTAGGACGTGTATCTTTATTGGGTGGACCTGTCTTTGTAGTGCATGTTGCGTTACTTGTATTTATGGTGTTTCTTTGTTCTTGAGGTTGTATTTGTGTGGTTGCTTGGGTTTTTGGTGGAGATATTGCAGTATTTTGTGAGCTAGTAGTTATTATTATGGTCGGTGTTTCTTGTGAGAACTCAGGTCTAGCCTGGTTAACTAATCGCACGGATTAAAATCAAGTAACGATTAGTGTCTGTGTCTGTGTCTGGCGAAGTTATGTAGGGTCCCTAAAAAAAAAAAAAAAAAAAAAAAAAAAAAATCACACATGGGCACAGTAAGCCAACGCTATCAGGAAAGAGGAAAACAAAACAAAACAAAAATCATTATAATAATTCCTGTAATTTTTTTT